CCATCTTAGTTGTCGGCCTGTAGTTCCTTTACTTCACTAGAATACACTAATTTTATGCTTTAAATTAGAAATTAAATCTTTAAAGTTGGTATATAGACTTTGTTGATTCGTTAGATCTTTAGAGAAATTACCTTGATTTTAGTAAAAAAATGGTTTATCTGAGTTTGTCCACTATGAAATTAACGGCATTATATTAGCTTTCTCAACATAAAAAACACTAAATAAAAATATCAACTAATTTTCTCATATTTTATGTAAGCACGCCGTAAAAAATCAATTACACTAATCCAAATAGATTCTAGTACAATAGATGGCAACGTAGAATTTGTACACTCTCAGTACAGTTGTATTCTGTCGTCCCAAGTGTCAATTCAGTTTTTATGTCCGACAAAATAATCAATAATAGTGATAATTTTAGAATAAAGTCAATTACATAAAATCAAGTACACTAATCAATGTCAAACACGTTTGGATTATTTACAATTTTAACCCTGTTTTGCATCAATATCTAACACACATGTTTTTCAAATACTTCAAATATGTTTTACATTAAAAAAAACAAATCAATTTCTAGAATTTTTGAGTGTTTACACACTTATGAAAATTGTGAATTAAATATTGGGACAAGAATGTTTTGTCTTTGTCACCCATGATCCTGATATATAGCCTACTTTATTTCAATTATTATTTATATTAAGCTTTTAAAAATCATGATTACACAAAAAAGCAGACTTCTTAGATCTATCTTATTCCTCCTTTTAAAATCTGAACTCCTTCCTTAAACCGGGGGCTAGAAACCTGGTTTAAGATTAATTAATAAGATTAGCAGGATTTGCAGCAGATTTACTCAGGGTTCAGGACGGAGCAGACTCAGGATACACAGTTGACCAACGGAAATACTAATCAGGGTTTAAAGATCAATTATCTCAAGAACCGGGACAGCAAGAGAGGGGGGGGGGTAGTGAAAGTAAGTATAAAATGGGGGGGGTGTACTCAAAGAAAGTTGATGACTGACGAATAGGGTATTAGGACAGTAATCCTATTTACTGTAAGAGCTTAAACAATCTTTCATTTTGAAATATTTGCAATACTTATTCATCTTTCTCATCTTTCTCATACCTCTCATATTCATAACTATATGTATTTTTCCTCACTAAGATCTTCTTCATAATCTTGTTTTCCTTTTTTTACTCTTTCTTTACTCTTCCCCTCCTTTTCTCTCGGCGTTTTATCACTATCATTTTCTTTTCTCTCTTCATTATCTTTTTTCTCTTCTCTCTAATCTTCTTTTCTCTCCCATACTCCTCTTCCTTTTTTTCTCTTCCTGTTTCCACTTCCCTTCCCTTGTTTTTCTCCATGTTTTGTTCGGTAGAAACTATGCAACTGTTTATTTTGAATCTAGAAGATATTTCTTGGATAACTAGAGGGAGGGAGAGGATGGAAGGAGGCCGAGTAGGGAAGGGGGGGGGTTGTTGTTCGAGGGACGACAGAAGAGGGAAATGGGGATGGAAGACGGAGAGAGGAGGGAGTAGAAAAAATGGGCAATGGAGAGTGTTGGAGGGGAGAATGAGTGATGGGAAAAGGGGAAGTTTAGGGAAATAAATGGGAGGAGGAGGGAGGGGAAGGAGAAGGGAGAATATCTACAAAAAGGGGTTAAGGCGTTTAAAGAAAGGGGTCAGTCATTATAAGAAATGAGTGACGGGGGATTTAAAGGCTTTTTTAACTCGCAAAAAAATAAGATTATGAATTTTTATTGTTTCTTTCATATTTGACCATTTAATAAAAACAAGAGAAAATTTAGCAAATAAATGTTTTGGTAAACAAAAAGTTAAATTTTACAAATATTAAAAACAGAAATTTTTACAAAAGTGCAGTGAATCAGAATTGAACAAAATTAGGAAAAGTTAAAGCGCGTAAGACAGAAATATAAATACAAATAAAGATACTAAAATTTAAACAAAATCAAGAGAACGCAAACAGGAAACCGTCAAGCTTCAGAAAATCCGCAAATTTTCATATATCCGCCATTTTGCTAATCCTCTTGAACCGCCATTTTGCAAATCTTATTATTCATAAATCGCATAAGATCCACAAATAGCCTCCCCCCCCCCAAAAAAAAATATCTATAAAATCTTTCAGTTTTCCATATTCTAAGATGTTTTTAAAATCTAACAAATAAGAGAATCGTTTAAAATATCTAGTCCAAGAGGAGGAATGATTACTCGAAGTATAACGAAAGTATAAAAGGCATGAAGATATGAATCGTGTAGAAATAATAGTTTAATAATATGTATTTGTTCAAGAAGATGTAGTTTATTGCAGCAACAAGTTTAAAGCGCAAATATCTTTTAACCCTGTTGCTTAGTCCCTTCCTATCCCCCCCCCCCCCCCCCCCAAAAAAAAAAAATTATGCAATGCAAGGGGAAAATTATATTCATAACTTAAATTGAAAAAGGCCATAAACCTAAAGAAGTGTCTCTTCTTGACACTGAAAGCGTGCGCAAAATGGATTTAAATGCCCCGTCACATTCTTGTGAATGTTTTCAATTTTTGAAACAGCTGTTCATTTTGATATTTAAAATAATATTTTGATACATAAGTAGAAAGAAAAGTAAGATCGGACATTGTGGAAAGGTATTGAGTCTGTGACACATACTCTGATTTTCCAATTCCTATATCTTTGCAACCATGTCGAAAATCTTAGATTTTTTAAACTATAAATTATGTTATGTCAAAAAGTCTAACTTTAAAATATCAAAGCTTTATATCATCAAGTTGAAAAGATATAGGGATTGAGTTTGTGGCAAGAACTCCATTCCTTAAATTTAGTAATTTTTTTTCAGAACCCATCTCCTCTTGTATTCCCCCCTTTTTACACTTCCTCCATCTGATATATTTTATGTTATAAGCTTGGCTCCGACAAAAATAGAAAATACAATGAAAGCTGATATGACCCGAATCCACACAGATTTAGAAGATGAAAAATACGTCTAAATTTGTTTTCACCAAAATTCAAAATGATTTGTTAACAAAAATTGCTGCTTATTGAAAAACTATTGTCAATAAGTTTTACAAATAGAGAATTCACTCAGTACAAATTAAACGATATTTAACCCCCCTCTCTTGTTATATATATTATATATCTGTTATTTAATACATCTCACGTGTAATGGATCAGATGGAAAGAGATAAAAATAAATCTGCTATTATCTAAAGTAATTTCACAGCTAATCTTTTTTTAAACCTTACACTTAATTCGATTTTAAAAGAAATAAACATTCTTGATTCCATTTTAAAAAATTAATATCTTTCATTTCAAATTGTGTGAATCAGATTTGATAAAACAATTTGCTCAGTTTTTAAAGAAATTACATGATATAACATGTAATGTATAAAATCTATACTGCATATAAAGTAATAATTTCAATTTGTTTATATGTTCAATCATAACTCAGAACCGATTTGCCTCAAATTATGATTGTAACAATGTAAATGTTCTTAGTTTGATTTATAAATTCTAAGTTGAGTAGATTGAGAGCGATTAGTTTTTAGACCAACCCGTCACGGACAGCCGTAGTACAATTGAATTTCAGAGCCGGGTCAACCTTTCCGGTTCCAGTTTGTACTGTATCGCTCGGATATTGGGTATATAAATGCTCGGTTAAAAGTGTTTCTTATAAAACTTAAAAAAATATTTTCTGTCGCATTTATTGTTTTTGCATTTAACTTAAGAAAAACACGGTTTGTTTCATTACACACACATATGAGCCACCATATAAAAAAGTAGATTATAAAAAATGTTGGGCCTATTTTTATTTGTAAAACTGCCTAACATGACATGGTATGATGCAGTGGTATTAATTATACATTTCTTCTTCTTCAGGAATTGTTAGAATAAAAAAGTTGTGTTAATGAGGCTTTTTTGGGGGGGAAATTATTGTTAATTATCATGCAGATGTAGGAATAAGTACAGGGTGTAACCAAAAATGCAACATTAAAAAAAATGTTTCTAATTGCGTAAGATGGTTTACAAAATTGTTAATAACTATTTCATGGTTGACAGATTATTGACTACAGTTTTCTGTTTTTGTTTAAGGGATAATAATTTGAGACACCCCATTCACACTAAACCAGGTGGTATTCGAGGGGGAAGGGGTGCGGGGGGTTGAGAGGGAGTGGGAATAATTTTAGAGTGAAATGTAAGTATTGGGCGTCTATTTCTTCGTTTGCTACAGGCTATATTTTTTGATTCATGAAATAACTGCATTGGAAAACCTAATTTCTAATTTTCTTTTAGAATTTTCCATACTTTTGAATACCAGAAAATACAATTTCATATACACGTAAAGTTGTCAAAAATAGCTAGATAGATAGCTCAAAACGGCAATGATAGACACATAGCAAGCTAGCTACTACTGCTTCCCGCGAAGTGCATTTTTATGATTTAATAACACTGAATTTTTCTATGCTTTATTTCATGCAGTTCATGCCTTCATGATCTTATGTAATACCGGAATTATTCATTAAAACGAACTGAAATTTCTATTTGACTTTTGATGTGCATGATAAAGAACTTGAAAAACATTTCAAAAATTGGCTCAAATATAGATTACAACTTTAACTTGAGTTATCTTATGTATTCTGTAATCTATACAATACAATTATAGTATTTTAGTACAGATTGTAGTTTTTTAAATGTATAAAAATAGTGAAAGTCACTTATTAAAGAGGCCAAAATAAAATAAAATTGACCGCAAATTTTAAGACTAAGTTTTAAAAGTGATAAAGAAAACTTTAGGAGGCTTTTTATTTTTCCTGTTCAATGCTACTTTCAAACTTAACTTTAAAACAACTAATTAATCTTTTTTTTAAATATTTTAGCACTCAAATATTGCCTTAACACTTATATGACCATCGCCCCAAAACATTAACAAAACCAAAATATTGCTAATGATATAAGATGTAGGTTTTATGTATGTATGTATATCTATTTAAATTACCTGTTCTCAAATGAAAGAATCAATGTGAAAATGTAAAATGTAACTGCGTATAATCTATATTTCACTAAACACCACGTAGAGTACTTTAATCACAAGCGCAGGTCTTCACTATGCCGCGTTTCAAACATTACTGAACTGACATAACAACAAAGTCGGGTCGGGTCTATACTCTACACTGAACTGTAGTATCCCTCCCCCCTACCAGCAGCTGCCCAATAGTAATCACTAAGCTATCTAATATCTGCCTAAAACACTTAGCTGGCCTGTACAAGTATCTGGATCTATGGAGAGCCTGTTTTTAAAATGTTTACAGTTTTATTAATTCTCTCTTATCCGGCACTGTTGATAAAATTCTTATACCGCCCGATTATTCTAAACTTTTTTAGTTGAAACCCAAATGTATCTAATATGCATTTGTAATACATTTTTTGCGCATTTTTTGAGTTGAGGGGTCTATAAAGATAACAGGGGGTTCATTATAGTTAAATGAAAAGTTGAGAATGAAAAGTGAGTATTTCTGTTCCGACCCTCCCTCTTTTAATCCATATTGTTTACAATTACTTTTTTAAGACTCTGACCTCCCCGTTTAAGATTTATTAGATACTCTGCGTAACTGTTGCCCCCCCCCCTCCCCACCCTCTTTATACTTGTTTTTCAACCCTTGTACAAACATGTTGCAGTTTATTTAATGCATCTTTGTTTAATCTTTGCAATTGTGAAGGTTTTCAGAGCTGGTAACTTTTAAATGAAGTAAATCTGCATAATTTAACTTTTGAGCCATAACTAAAAACTTTTGAATAAAAAAGTTTAATTTCTAAATTGAGAAGTGAGTCAGATATTGCCGGATAACTGATCTTTAATTGGTCCGGGATTTGAGATTCCTGGATTTTGACAAATAAAAACTGAAAAAAGAGACGGTCATTGTAATTTGAATAGAGAGGGGTATGCCTTATTCACAACGCTACCGTTGAAACTTTAATCTGATCAATGTCGTTTTCCTAGCTTGTTAATTTATTCATTGTCTCAAAGGTAAGAAATGCGCAATTCACTTTCGAAGAGAAACCACAAATAGTTCATACTTGACTGGACAAAGTTCGAGACAGTCCACTGGAGGGTCACTTGAAATTACAAATAGAGGAAAGCATTAAAGTTAAACTTGATAAAGGGAGAAGAGATGAATTTAAATCATTACAAACGAGTTAAGCCATCCTGACTATTTAAAATTTCCTAGCTTTATACCCACGGTTTAGCTCATCCTGTCTATTTAAAAGTTCCTAGCTCTGAACCCATGGTTTAGGTCATCCTGTCTATTTAAAAGTTCCTAGCTCTGAACCCCTGGTTTAGGTCATCCTGACTATTTAAAAGTTCCTAGCTCTGAACCCCTGGTACCGCTATATTGAGTGTGTACCCGTAGTGACCAAGGTTAAACTATTTTACAACCCTTTTTACATAAAAATATTTAAACCATGTTCTTCTCTTTATCCAAACATAGGTTTTCAGCTCTTATTTTCAGTTGTAGACGTTCTCCACAATATGCGTCAATATTTGCTGAAGGTTCTTAGTTTCAAGATTTTCAAACAAAAGTAACTTTGAGACGCAATATAATAGACAATAAAACATTGACTGAATTTGTTGCTTAAAAAGAAATATAAAAATTTAGATATTAAAACTATAATCTTAATAACAGAAGGAACTCATTCACAAAGATCCAGACTGCAATGCAAAGTTGCAATAATGTTAATTACTTGATTGACTTTGAAGATGTTGCAACGCTTTGAATTTTGATTTCATCTCACTAACTCGCTTATACTTTTTTGTACAAATTTTTGCGTAAGCATGCGTGCAGCCTTTGGATCTCTGTGCATTATCTCGGATTACGCTATATCTTTGCAAACTGATGTTGTACACTTAGTTTCAGTAGAAGTAAATATTTCCATGTACTGTTGTAGCGCCGATATAAGGATTTATCTCTTATTGGATAATGATCTATATAGAAAGATAAATGCAATTTCTATTGGTTCAGAATAGACACCAAACACATAGCTGAACCCTGATTTGAAATGTCAATAGGTCTATACCGTCCACACCATCTGATTGCAAAGATTCAAAAGGGATTCGAAAAACTATTCTGTTTCGAAAAAAATAAAGGCAAACCGGAAAGACTAATGCTATGAATGATGTAATACTCTGAATGATGTTAATAAATTGAGAAATGCTAAAGTTCAAAATTCAGATTATATATCGAATCAACTATTTTTTGGGCAGCCAATTAATCATAAAAAATGTACTTTGCTGAATTCTTGTTGTTTTGTACATTCTATGGAATTTTCAGTTCGTGAGATAGCATAATAAAAAGGTTATTTTAAACGTCTTTTAAATTAAAAAATGTTAAACAGTCTAAATTATTTTATAAAAAAATCTTAATTTCCTAAATTCCCAAAAATTCTTTTTGGGAATCTTAATTTCGAATTAAAAAAACACTTGAATTTAAAAAATCCCAGATTGGACAGCCATCCAATTTTTGTTAAATATGAGCGGTTTTTAGTCGCTTATTTGGCAGCTATCAAACTTGCCCGTTTGTCAGCCATGCTCAACAAATAAATTGTGGGTTTTTTTTTTTGGGAGGGGGGGGGTGTCTTTAAAAAATGCATAACAAAATAAATCTAGATGATAAAACATAATGAAAACATGAATAAAACATCGACTATGTTCCGACATGAACTAGAAAATTTTTATGTTTTCATGTTAAACGCCGTTAACAGGATTATGTCTTAATGTCATGTAACATTAAATCAGCTTCTGATCTTTGAATGGCAATTTACTTTGCAATTTATCTTGCAAATGTTTTTGCAAATATCTTGCAAATACGCAAAAAAGGAGTGTTCAATGGAGGGGGGCCCCCGGGGGGGGGTATGCATAAAGGTGTTCTAATTCATTCACAATTACTAGTATTTGGTCTAGTTTTTAACAAGAATATTATTAATTACTCCGCCGTAGATTATTTAATAGTACCGTTGTGAATTGTACATTCCACTCTAGGATTGATTGGAGGGTCACTGAGAATCAAGGTTTTATTCACTGTAATGTAATGAATTCTGAGTTGCGTATTTTACAGTAGATACAAGCTTACCCACAAAGAATGAGGCTTCAGAGACGACTGTACGGAATTTATACTTTTTGCTTCCTTAAATTATGTAATTATAAACTTCTTTCTTTCTTTGCCAACTCATTAAATAAGAGATTTTTTGTAAAAATAATACATTCCGAAAAATGCATTGGCGCAGAATTTCTTCTGGAAAGTTATTGAGGCTTAAATCTTCCAACCCGTGTACATCCTTGAAGTCATCTCTAGATTGTTTGGCATCCATGTTCAAGGCAGAAGACTTGATTTGAACATGGAATCGTCATATTTAAAGAGTTTCAGGTCGTCTTTACAGTCTGATCCTTTATGGGTAACCCTGTGGCATTGTGACACCCTATAACTAAAAGAAGATGAACACATTTACTGATTAAAGGAGTGGTGCATGGAGTAGGTGGGAAGGTGATTCTACACTGCAACATTTTATTCCACATTTAAAGGGAGTGTTCGCGAAAAATGAAAGGGGGTATAGGCTTAATGCGATAAAAAAAGCGCTTTTGATCGCTACTAATCTTACTTCTATCTATTGCGTCTATAAGGAGAAAATTGATAAAGACTCTCAGATCATAACAATTAAAACATATTATGAAAAATCAACTATATATAAATGTGGCGAAAGATAATCGATGACTATAGGTTGAAATATCTGAATGATTTGTTTGAAATTAAATTGATTTTTTTACGGTCTAAGTCGTATGTTGCTTCTTTCTCAATTTGTATGGGCGCTACGCTCTTCGGTATGAGACGTCTTTATCAATTTTCTCCTTATAGACGCAACAGATAGAAGTAAGATTAGTAGCGATCAAAAGCGCTTTTTTATCGCATCAAGCCTATACCCCCTTTCATTTTTCGCAAACACTCCCTTTAAAGTTAACGGGACTTGTATAAAAAAGTTTATAAAAGTTTGTATAAAAAATTTTAATTTCAAACTATTTTATATTTATATAGCATCATATAGAGACTGTTTGCGAAAAATTATGGGGGTATGCGCAAATATCGAATTAAATTCAATTTCGATTGCTACTAATTTTACGTTTATCTGTTGCGTATACATAAGGAGAAATCTGTTAAAAAACGTCTTTTACCCAAGAGCATTTTAGGACCCATACAAATCCACGAAGTTGGATTATTCCACTCAGATCATAAAGAAAAGTTACTCTTAAATTAAAACCTTTACTTATGAATTGAAAAAGAAGTTAAAAACAGAATAAACCTGGGGGGGGATACAAGAGAAAAAGGATTTCCTATCTTGCAAGATTATTTCCTATCTTGCAAGATTATTTCCTATCTTGCAAGATTATTTCCTATCTTGCAAGATTATTTCCTATCGGATTTATTCTGGAATAAGTTTAGTTCAAAGGCCTTAAACTGGTCTTGTGAGATGTGAAACCCAAGCAAAACGTAATGACAAAGTATAAAAAAGCTTTGAAAATCCAAAATTTTGGGAAATTTAAATCCCCGAAAGGAAGCTGTAAGGAGAGAATTTTCCCATCAAACAATAACGGTTTCCAAACCAGGTTTTGTTTTTTAATCAGCAATTTCTAAAGTTGGCACCTTTAATTGCAACCTACTCAATACCGTAAAAAGATTTTTAATGTTTATTCGTTCTATAATTACTTTAACAATGTTTCAGCGTAAAACCACAAAAATCATTTGTTTCCGAAACCCGGGTTCGTTTTTCAAATTGGTAACGTCTTGAAAATGCCACCTATAATTACTAATTAGTTTTATAGCGTAAAACCAAAAGATAATTTTTGCTTCCGAAACCCAGTTTCGTTTCTTAAATCAGTAACGATTAAAGATGCCACCTCTGATGAAAAACCTATTGAATGCTAGAAAGGTGTTTATTTTATAATTAGTTTTATAATGTTTCAGCGTAAAACCATAAAACCATCATGCATTGTATTATTATGCAGTATTATTTAATAATTAATGTGCTTTTACTTCCACACTCAATTATGCTGCAAGTTTCTATAGAAATTCTACAAATGAAAGAAACATTCTT